TTTTTTTGAGAATGTTTTATTCATTATATAAATTGTGAATTGATAAATTAACCGAAATTTTTCTTACTTAATGATAATTGATAGACCGTTATTTACACATGTTTTCACCCCTGTTCTTACACCGTTTGATGTATTGATTCTCGTGTTTTAGGCCAATTTCACGCTAGGTTGTGCTTGGTTGTGATATTTCAGGTCCTAAGACGTGAATGAAGGCTTAGGAGCGAGTCTGGGGTCGATTGGACGAAGGTCGGACGCATGGCGAGGTTCTAAGGAGGCTGCACGGCCAGACCAGGGAGTCGCACGGCCGTGCAATGGAGCAAGTTGGCCGTGCGCTTTTTGCCGAGGCCACGCACGGGCAAGCCATGGAAGTCGCACGGCCGTGCAACATACAATTGTGGCCGTGCGACATTATGCGAGCACGCACGGGCAGAGCAGGAAACCCGCACGGCCGTGCAAGTGACCCGTTTGGCCGTGCGGGTTGGTGCGAGAGCTTGCACGGGCACAAGCGAAATCCGCACGGCCGTGCAAGGTGCAATCCTGGCCGTGCGAGATGGCTGAGGCTCGACTTAATGGTACGCCGCGTTTTGAGTCGCACGGCCAGAATGGTGATGTGCACGGCCGTGCACCCTGGCCGTGCGAGTCGGGAAAGTCTGTTTTTTAAGCGGATTCCGAGCCAAATAGAAGGGGATTCGAGTTTTTGAGAGACAGAGTGATTCCTAGAGAGAGAAAGCGACGAACAAGAGCCCCCAAGTGCCCTAGATCGATCTTCAACACCATTGGAGCTTGGTTTGAGCTTGGAGAAGTGCCGATTCAACGTCCAGGAGCAGAAATCCATCTTCACAGTATGATTTCCGCGTCTGATTCTGCTTTTGCTTCTCTCTCCATGGAGTACTTCCCCCATTCATCTGGGTATGGGAAACCCTAGTTCTGTATGTTAGGTTTGATTGTATGAACCCAAGTATTGATTCTATGATATTGATTATATTCGATTGAGGTTTGAATGATTGAATGGCATGAATCCTTATCAAATTCCTGTTGTTTCTGCTTTAACCTAGAATGATAATATCTGCCTAGGTTGATAGAGTATCCTTAATCGAAGGTAGTGAATTGGTGACTTTAGTCGAGGAGCCAATTCACTATTCTGTACCGAATTCAATTCGGTAGTGGAGGTTTGGTTCGTTAGGGCCTCAATCTGTTTACTACGGTGTAGGTTAGTCGCCAGCTAGAGACTCAAATTGAGAGGGTCTGAAGACCTTTAGTGAGACTTCAGACTGTTTGAGAACCTTCCGCAGTATAACTATCATAGAAATTGAACTTGGTAATTACAATCCGGCTTAACTGCAGACTAGGGGGAACCATATCCGGGTGACCTCTCTTAACCTGAATACAACCGTTTAGTTGCTTTGCTTGCTTGTTAGTTTAGAACTTCACTAAAGTTTCATTGCTAGATAATACGAATTCACTGAGTAGTCATCACATCTAGGACCCGGGTTGACAATAAAACCCAAACCCGCTATACTACGCTTTAGGAAGTGGTTATACTTGGCCATTTTCTAGGGTGATAGTAGGAGTGAGTCAATAATATGATTTTATACTGGTTAATCTGGTTAACCGATTAAACTTTAGTTTGGTTAATTTGGTTGTTGTATTAGTTTGGACAGTTTGGTTATGATATTGTATTTCATGGTTAATGAAATTTATCTTTATTTGGTTTGGTAATAACAATGGTAACCATTTGAATACCCCTAGTTGATTCATCCTAGTTAGCAGGGCAGTTGCTAACAACCCCCTTTTTTGATGAATGAAGATCCCAACGATTCATAAAAAAAAAATTATTATTTCATACTATATTATTAATTTATCGACTATTAATTTTTAGAGGTTTTAGTGTATATTATTGCTCAAAATTGCCTTTAATTTTGTATTTATTGTATCACTCATTAATTTTATTGAATATTTCACTTTCAAAAGTTGAATCACTCTATTGGTGTTGGATATTAGATATTTGGGCTAGTGCCACTACAACACCCGAACTGTGACGAAAATGCCACTTGTGTCCTATTTTTTCAATATTCCATTTCTATCCTGAATTATTTTTCCATTAGTATTGGCTGGCTTTGACCGTTAGTATTTAAGAGAAAGTTTAGTCAACACTGACGTGGCATCTGACATAGAATTTTAAATTTAATTTTTATTTTCTTAACTAAAATTAATAAAATAACAAAACTAAAATTACAAAATTAAAAATAAAACTTATACGTTTCATCTCTCCTCCCTCTCTCCTCTCTCCCTTCAACGATTCCCCTTATTCAACGAACAGTTTCGTCGCCCAGAACTTCTTCGAGGATGAAATCGATGTTGTTCTCCTTCCTCCCCCGCAGGGTCTTCCTCGACTATGACAAAGCCTTGTGCCCCTGTCCTGAGTGTTGGAAATCGATCGAGAAGCACGAAGTCGGAGTCGGGCTGGGGTCTGGGAGAAGAATCGAGATTGGGATTAAGTTAGGGATCCGAGATTTCATATTTAGGTATGCAAATCCAAATCCGAGAACAAAGTTAGAGAGGCCTAATGATAGACCGATAATTATACATGTTTTCACCCCTATTCTAAAGCCTTTTGTGATGAGGAATCTCGTGTTTTAAGCTGATTTCACGCTAGGTTGTGTGTTTATGTCATATTTCAGGTCCCGGCGTTGGAATCGAGGCGAAGGAACGAGTTCCGGGTCGAAAGGAGCGAAGTTGGGAAAAAGGAGGCTGTTGGACCAGAATACCCGACCAAAGGAAGAAATACCCGACCGGGTATATTCTGGCCTTGACCGGGTATTTTTCCCTTCGGGCACCCGTGAGAAGCAGAAGGGGGCCCGGGCGATGGCCTTAAATCCCCGGTCGGGGATTATGAGGATAGACCGGGGATTTTTCCCCTTAGTGGAACGGCTCGTTTTATGAATACCCGGTCGAACCCAAAAATACCCGACCAGGTATTTCGACCGGGTATCGCGAGGGCAGCTGATAAAAGAGAAAGAAGGCCAATTTTCAGAGGGTTCCGAGTTTTTGAGAGAGAAATCGATTCCTAGAGAGAGAAAGCGACGAACCAGAGTTCCCAAGCGCCATAGATCGATCTTCAACACAATTGGAGCCCGTCTTGAGCCTGGAGAAGTGCGATTAAACGTCCAGGAGCAGAAATCCAACTTCACAGTATGATTTCCGCGTCTGAATCTGCTTTTGCTTCTTTCTCTATGGAGTAGTTTCCCCATTCATCTGGGTATGGGGAACCCTAGATTTGTATGCTAGGTCTGATTGTATGAACCCAAGTACAGAGTTTGTGAATTGATTATATTCGATTGAGGTTTGAATGATTGAATGACTTGAATCCTGATCAAATTCCTGTTATTTCTGCTTTAACCTTAAATGAGAATATCTGCCTAGGTTGATAGAGTACCCTTAATCGAAGGTGGTGAATTGGTGACTTTAGTCGAGAAGCCAATTCGCTATTCTGTACCGAAGTCAGTTCGGTAGTGGAGGTTTGGTTCTTTAGGGCCTCAATCTGTTTACTCCGGTGGAGGTTAGTCGCCCGCTAGAGACTCAGATTGAGAGGGTCTGGAGACCTTTAGTCGAGACTTCAGGCTAATTGAGAACCTTCCGCAGTATAACTTTCATGAAAACTGAACTTGGTAGATTGCAATCGGACTTAACTGCAGTCTAGGGGGAACCATATCCGGGTGACCTCTCTTGACTTGACAACAACCGTTTACTTGCTTTGTGTTTTGTTTGCTTGAGTTGCACTAAAAGTTCACCGCTAAATAACAAGAATTCACCGAGTAGTCATCACATCTAGGACCCGGGTTGACAATAAAACCCAAACCCGCTATACTACGCTTTAGGAAGTGGTTGCACTTGGTCATTTTCTAGAGTGACAGTAGGAGTGAGTCACCTAACTAGCAACGACGAAGAAACCTGGGTCGGTGGATTTGTGGGAGAACTCAATTGAAGCGATTGAGGAGACCAGATTCTCGATCTTGGTAGATCTTCTCTACTATGAACCTCCTGTTCTGAACACACTAATCCTGAATCATCGTCCCCGACGCGTAGTTGCAACAATAACTGGAAGTCTAGTAGCAACCAACGACTTCGCCAACGAAAAGTTGCTCGGATTCGGCGGGTTCTTTAAGTTGATTCTGTAGATGTAGGTCTTTTGAGAGGCACTGACGGCATGGAGAGCGTGGGGTGGGGGGGGGGGAACTTCTGAAATTCCTGCAAACGCTTCAGAGACTTTGAAAATTCTGGCAACAACGGCCGCAATCTTCTTTTTACCGATGTAATCCTCGACTCCAAAGAGCCTCTGCTCTGGAGACGAAGACCTCTTCTCCTATTAAATAATTTTTTGTTTTTATTTTTAATAATTTTGTTTACGTGGCGTCTACGTAGATGCCATGTCAACAAAAGTCAATATTACTTTGACCCCCTATTTGCTCCGAGCCAATCACTACTACTACTAACTACTTGCAGTGGAAGGTCTAAAACATTGCCTTTTTTCCTCCAAAGAAATGGCTTGGATATGTTTCTTGGAACATTCTGGAACCTTAGAATACGCTTCATTATGAAACTGAAAAAGCTCCAGAGACATTGTGGTGAAAAAACAATGCACCATCATTTCCATATTATTAATTAAGTGGATAACAGGACAAGAACTACAAAGGCACACCCCACACCCAGAAGAAAATTCCAGAACTCATTGGAGATTGGCCCTTTTACTAAAAAGATTCTCTTGGGTTTTTCAAGTCTCTACACAATCGTACTAGACCTTCCTAGAGAAGTGCCTTGGAGACCAAGAGTTGAACAGTAGCAGTAAAGCAACACTCACAACCCCTTCGAGACTACGTTGTTGTCTCTGCTTTCTTTTGTCTTTTCCCAACCTCTCTTCTCCCTTGCCTCAGCTGAACGCGGAGTTCACTCTATAAGTACTTGGACACCATTTTTACAACGCCGCTTCACTTACATCACCACCTCCCCTGAAAACAAAATGCCAACAGCCCGAGAAACAGGTTGATCTATTCATAGAGCTTCACTCATACTCAACTCCTATTGACTCACTCTGTTTCACTTTGCTCTGTTTCATACCAGTAACAGACCAGATCACAATGAGTAGTATGGTTCATCACCAGTCTCCCGTCATTCCAGACCAGTTTCCTATTTTAGGAAGTGGAATGAACAGCAACAACATGCTACCCACATCACCAAATTACTCCTTCGACGAAGGAGACAATCGGTTCTGTCCATGCGACGAGCGGTTGATAAGTTATTACTTGATCCCCAAGAGGCTTGGAAATGAAGATCAAACCATTCAAATCCCAGAAGTCGACATCTTGAACCACGAGCCGTGGGATTTACTACCCACCGGTGGAGGTAAAACATCACGATCTCTCTTTCCGCGCCTGCTTGGGTGGATGCTTTTTGAGTTTCGTGTTATGTTTGGGACAGAGCAACGGTACAAAGAAGCACATTATTTCTGCCGCCGACGGAGCTACTTTACGAGCAAGGATCGGTACAAAAGGACCACCGGAGGTGGTTACTGGAAACCGACCGGCAAACATCGCGAAATTAGGAGAGCAGCTGATGGAGAATTGATCGGCAGCAAGAGGAGCCTGGTTTTCCATTATGGCAGGCCGGCCGGGCAAGCTACGGGCTACACTATGCACGAGTACTCTGTTCCCAACTCTATTGGGCAGACAACACTAAGAGAAGATTTGGTTCTCTGCAAAATCATGAAGAAGATTTCAAACCACAACAACAAAACTGAAACAACAGCAAGAAAGCTAAGTAAGAAGAGGAAGAAGGCGGCAATTACGCCAATAATACCATCCAACGAAAACATCAACACTATTACTCTGCCTCGGCAAGAAGAAGAAGAAGCTGGATATCAAAATGCGTCCTTTGAAGAGGCAGTCAGCAATGATCATGGCGGCACAATGGAATTGGCGCCCTTTCCGGAGATACTGTTCCGCGACGGTGATGATCATAGCCAGCTGCCTGATTTTGATTATGATTTCAATTTTGATATTGATTTTTACTCCGCGGTCAGAGATATACTGCCACCGCCGGAGCCGGAGTCCGAGTCGGAGCCTTAATTGTGTGAGATGGAGTCTGATGATCGGAGCCTTAATTGGTTGTTAACTTAGCATATCTTGCAGCTGATGATCTAAGGCTTTTTTCTTGCGTTTACTGTTGTATTAGTGTGATATTAAGCACATTTAGCAGTACGCTAATGTTGCTGTGTTGTAATGATTTCCTTTTATCTTTCACCTTCTGCATGTATTAAGCTTTGTACTTCCTCTAAACTATACTCGTTAGTTTGCCCGCACTTTGCGGCAGGATAATCGAGCTCAGACAAATATGAAATATGTATAATTCAATTTCGTATCATCTGTTTTATTCTTCATTCTTTCTTTGTCAAATTTATGAGGATCAATACACCCTAATCAATAGATTGGATGAAAGAGTCTTTCATGGTCTGAAGATAAAAACACAAACCATTAACTAATTAGCTGCTGCTAGTGATCCCCTCCCCTGAATCAATCCTTCTGCAAATTTGCTGCTGCTGATATTGCTCTGGAAAATCTCAAACAGAATGTGTTTCCTCGGATTATAAGGTTGTTGTTTGATTAAAATTAGAGTTCCTCAAGTGCAAAAACTGTAAACTCCCTTTAAAATTTGTAGGAGTCTTTTGACTTAGCAGTTACTTGAGTTGAATAAAATCAAGTTATCTTATAGCAAGCTCTCTATATTCAAACTAAGCTTCTTTCAACAGTTTGCTGCCAAAAGAGAAGATGAACTGAGGCATCCAAATGAGTGATTGATTCGACAAAATATATCAACAAGCTGAAAAAGTTGATTGGGCTGTATTGTCTCCCTAAAACATGAAGAAACATTTCTGAGATAATAACTTTGAATCTTCGTTCTTCATCTATTGGGGAACACTAAGGTGATTCCAAAATTTGACAGTGCAGGGGCGCATAATTCCTTCTAAATTAAAGAGAAAGATCATTTTAGAGTATAAGAGAAAAGATCATACATTTCTTGACAATTTCAGATAAACTCTCCACTCCATCCACTTCTTGAACACCAAGGCTGCTGTCGTACCAGTAAAAACCTTGATGAAAGGAATCATGTGAGAAAGAAAAGGAAATAAATATGGTTAACACGCAAGAGAATTTGAGATAAGAAGAAGATGAAAGTAAAAAACCTTGAACTCCATCCCTGCAGATTGGATGAAGGGGAAACAGACACACTGCTTGTCTGCTACATTCACTTCTTTTCAGTAAACGAGTGCTACAAGCATCTCACACGAGGATTGTTTCCAGGTATTGGAGAAATCTTCTCGGAAAAAATCATATGGAATCCTGCGGTCCCTAGCAAACTATCGGCATTCAGCTGGTTGGTATTTCAAGGAAAAGTCCTCACCTTGGATATATTACGACAACGAGGATGGTGTCTCTCCAATCACTGCAGCATGTGCTTCACATCCGAAGAATCATTACATCATTTGCTATTGCATTGCACATTCGCAAGTCAAGTCTGGAGCTTCTTTTTCTACTGTTTACAGTTGCAGGGACCTATACCGAAATTATGCAGAGACCTTCTTATTGAATGGACAGGTCTATCAAGAGGTTGTCGTTTCAAAAAAGCAATACAGTTGTTACCGTTAATCATATTTTGGCACTTTTGGATTGAAAGAAACTCCAGAATTTTCAGGGACACAAAGACACAAGTAAAGAGCATCACCAAAATGGCCAGCCGAACTATCTACAGCTATGCTATGTTCCACAAACTCATCCCTATAGATCAAAGTGATGCACGTCACTGTTTGCTTTATGAGAATCGTTCTCCTCTTTCTTTTCAACCACCTTAAGCTATTTTCATTTTACTAGTTTTATCTCTGCCCTCTTAATGTTCTTCTTTCATTCAAATTTCTTTTGCCATCTTGCTATATTATGGAGTTAGTCTACTACCTGTAGACCCTCCTCTTTTCATGAATACAAGCACTCAATCCTTCATCAAAAAGAAGAAAAATACTTCTTGAGCTCTGAATGAAAAGAAGAGACTGCAAATTACTCATAAACTCACCATGTGATGGCTAATCCCGATCTTCATAAAAAATTAAGTACATAACTGCAATCTTGCAGACCTTGTAGGCCATCAAGGTACTCCATCTTGCTTTTTTCACAGAACTAATGTGCACAACGACGAAGCAATTGATCATGTCATTCCCAGACAACAAAAAACACAGAGATACTGTCAGTCCCAAAAAAATGAGAAATCCCATCTTTAGAAAAGGGATATCAAGCAAACGTACGTAAGCTGCATAATCTCAAGCTATAACTAGATCGAGAAAAGGGTTATTCAAATGTACACTATCAACACTTGATTCAGAAATTGAATAAATCGTCAACTAAAAACTTTCCAGCAAGAACTAAACTTCACTAACAATTTGTTAAGAACTAAACATAGAACACATGGGGAAAGAACTTCTTCCGCAAGTGGGAGGCGCCGCACAAAACAATCCAGCGTTCACGCCACAGGTTCAGAGAGGAAGAGGGTCGTCATGGCCGATATAAGGAGAAGTAACAAGCTACGACACAACACTAATATACGACCAAGTATAATCGCAGAAAGGAAATGCAGATAGTGATTAAGTCTAATTATCAACTCGGGCTCCATATCTACTGCCAACTCAGTGAACTCCTATTATCTAGCGGGAACAAGAGAGTGAAGTGTTTTCAGTGCAAAAGAAACAAGGGAACAAGTTATCGTTTGGTTCTTTCAAGTTCAAAAGGTCATCCTGATATGGGTCCCCCTAGTGTGTAGCTAGTTCAAGTTATACGGTCCCAAATTACTCATATTGATAGATAAGCCGCAGAAAGTTCTTAACTGGTCTGGACTCTCGACTAAAGTGGTCCAGACCCTCTTGATTTGAATACATGACGGGCGACTAACCTTCACCAACATACTCTAACCAAGGATAATCATGCAAACTTCCACTAGTGGCCTTGTGTTCCAGTACGGAGCAGTGAATCAACTTCTCGACTAAAGCAATCGATTCACCACTTTCAATTAAAGGTTGATCTTTTAACCTATGCAGAGACTATCGTTCTAGGTTAAAGCTGGAATTATACAGCTTTGATCAGGACTCATGCAATTCTGAATAATTCCTCAATTGAATTTATCCAAACAATCATTCATAACATGGGGTTCATACTATCATTCCTAACATACACAGCTAGGGTTCTTCATACCCAGATGAAATGGAAAATTACTCCATGGAGAGCTGTGAGAACGACACGCTTGGAGTAGACATCATCAAGGTGACAATGAAAGATTGCTCTTGGCGGGTAATTGGTACTCCAAGGTTGGGGACTCGAGCTCCAATGTCTTCAGATCGCTCCAATCTTTTTCCAAGGGTTTCTCTTCGTCACTCTCTCTATAGGGTTTGGTTTCTGCTTTAGAACACTCCAAAATCGGATTCCTTGCAAATTTCCCGAGTAGCCTATAAATAGATTGAGAATCCGCAAGTTACGGGCCGAGTAAGCAGATGCAGCCACCTAACGAGCCCTCAACAACCGATTAAGCAGATGCAGCCACCTAACGAGCCCTCAACAATGGATAAGCCAAAAGCAGTGAATTCAACCATACATATTAGAAGCACCACTAATAACAAACTAGCACAGCTGCCTGTGTCGACACAGTCAGGACAAGTAGATAATGAGGCCCAGCTTATAGACACAAATGTCATGCAATGGCATCATGTTCGGCCTCCTGATAATCATAGCAAGCAGTTTGAGAGTTCGGGAGATGTTTCTTTAGAGAATATGAATGAGAGTAACACGTAGAGCCCCGGGAATGAGGCTCCTCCGACATGAGATCTTCTCGGTGAACATCGGAGCCTACTCTTCCATATTATGTTAATGATGAACGTTTTTATGTGAAATTTTAGGGGTGCAGGGAGCAAACGCTTCCTAAGAGTGTTTAAAGAGTACAAGAGAAGATACTGTCCTGGTATTGTGATTATTGTTGAGCCGCAGATAAGTGGCAATAAAGCGTTGCAAGTAGTGAGAATATGGATTTCGATAAGTTCCTTATTGTGGATGTAGTGGGATTCTCGGGAGGTATATGGTTGATTTGGGACACGGCGGTAGCCACTATCTCAGAAGTGGACTGGTCGAATCAGATGTTCCATGTACAGGTGACGACGGGAGAAGGTAGTTGGTATCTTTCGACGGTGTATGCGGATCCATTCTTGGTTCAACGACGAGAACTTTAGGATTTGGTTAGAGAGCTGGCGGAGTTTGTAATAGATCCTTGGCTTCTTGTAGGATATTTCAACTCCATCTTACAACCGTTGAATAAGTCAGGAGGTGCAAACTTTGATGCTAGTCGTGCGAGGGCGTTCCAGGACTGCGTGTTGGATTCGGGGCTGGTGGATCTTGGATTTTGTGGACCGCCGTTCACTTGGTTTAAGAGTGATGTGAAGGAGAGGTTGGACAGAGGATTGGTCAAACACAACTTGGAGTGTAAAGTTCCCGGAGACTACAGTGAGACATTTGTCGAGGGTTAAAAGTGAACATAGACCTATTTTGGGTTTGGCAAAACACGCCTCAACACGATCCATTGCCATCTCTAATCACTTGCCGTACAACTCCGTTAACTTCATCATAGGTGGCAGTCAATTATGATGTTCGGCTGTTAAGTTGTTGAAGTGTAAAAATAATAATAATACATATAAAATAAATCATTGTATTTCACATCCAAGAAAATTAAGGGAAAACATAGAAAAGGAAAATTCTTAGGTTCACCCTTTGTTGGACGTAGAAGCTCCAACCATCCACATGTCATTTTGTTATTGCCGGACTCACATTTCATTTTTCTTAATATTTAATGTTCTTGATTATACTAAATAAATCAAAAACTGGACTAAAATATTTCCTTTTTTATACTAAAATATAAAAAAGAAAGATTAACTCACTAATAGGAGTGGTGGGTTGAGCTTCTATATCCAACAAAGACTGCAACTAAGAATTTTCCTAAGAAAAAGTCTCAGTTGATTGCGACTTTTAATTAAATAATAAAATCTTGGCCATCTTTTCCTTTGGCATTCGTCACGCCCGAGACCGAAAGAGGTAGGCGGCGGCCACATACCAAAGGCAGTTGGAATGCCTTCCTCTTCATCATTTGTGAAAATAAAAGGGTTATAGGTATAATATGCCCCTCTATTATTTTTTACATCAAACATGCCCCTGTATTTTGGAAAATTATCAAACATGCCCTTCTGTTAAAATTTTCATTGAAAAAATCGTCAATCATGGTTGAACCGATATTTAGATGACCTGACATCGGCAAATGGGAGGGAAAATATCAGTTTTATCCCCTATTTTATTTCTCTGGGTCTCGTCAAAGTGAAACTATTAGAATTATTTAGCTATACAAAAGAACAAAAATAATTCTAAAGTGGAATTATTAAGGATATTTTATACATTTGTGTCACCATAACTAAAGTTTGGTCGTGGTTAACGGATTTTGGGTGAAATTTTTAACAGAAGGGCAGGTTTGGTCATATTTCCAAGGTACAGGGGCATGTTTGATGTAAAAAATAGTAGAATGGTCTGTTTGATAAAATGACATAGTAGAGGGGAATATTATACCTATAATCAGTTCGGGTTTGTTCAAATTAGGCGTGGAAGTTTGGATTGCGGGTTGTGGATAACCCGCAAACTACACCAACCCGCACCCATTGTGGGTAGTGAGTTGGGTGTGGGTAATAAAATAATCACTTTTGTTGTTAGTGGTTACCCACTATCCATCGCGGTTAACCCACAAAATTCACAATAATCACACTAATTATATTTATTTACTAATAATATTTTATAATATAATAGTATGTGAAAAGCGGGCGGCAAAAAACTAAAGTAGCCACATGATCAAATATGCATCGAAGGATTTTTAAGTGAGAATTTTTAGTTTATAAAACACTATAATCGAGATAGTGGTAAATAATAGACTCATTATAAGCAATTTTAAGTGAGGATTTTTAGTTTATAAAACACTATAATCGAGATAGTGGTAAATAATCGACTCGTTAAAAGTTGACACCTTTAGTAACTTTTATCTACATGTTTTTACTTTTGAGTGAAAGAAAATACAAGATCATATTAGGATATCACAGCTGTCTGACACAAAAGTTGAATATCAAACTCAAAATAAAAAATCTCCACGTTGAGTAAGATCGATATAGAAAATTATATCTCCACGAATGGCACAATTGTATATCCCTATAGTCTTGCTACGAACCACAAATATGTTGGTGACGGCCTCATCATACTTGCAAATATGTATTTTTTAGGGTAACCACACCCAACCCGCACCAATCTGCAGTGGATACTGGTTGTCCACTACCCACTGCGGTGCGAATTATGAGTAGCATAATTACAAATTTGTGCATGTGGGTAGGGATGTTCTAACGGATTTGTTACCGTGGTAACCATATTAACCAGTAACATTTGGTTAATTTGGTTTGGTTAATTTGGATAATTGGTTTGGTTTGGTTTGGTTTGGTTAAACAATTTAGCTTATTTGGTTTAGGTGATTTGGTTTGGTTTCAACATTGCTAACCAATGAAACCAATTAACCAATTAATGATACACCTAATATACAAAATTATTTATACTTTCATCCAACCAACCAAACCAAACTTCCGTGATTCCCTATTTAAATTTTGGTTTGGTTAATTTGGGTGGTTTGGTTAAAACATTTTATTCCATGGTTAATGAAATTTAGGTTTAATTAGTTTGGTTATTACCAAGGTAACCATTTCAACACCCCTACATGTGGGTACCCGCAAAATGTGATGCGAGTAATTATACCCACCCTAATTTCCACACCTAGTTCAAATCACTGGCTCCACCTTGCCTGGGCACCGACTTCGTCCTACCGGTTTAAAAGACAATGTTCAATTTACACTAACCATGGAGATATGTCTCTAGACCAAGGTTGTCAAACCGGTTTATGCCGGTGTGCCGGTTTTGAAAGTGGAATGGTCCGACCGTGGTACAACCAGTATTCATGCCGGTTGTGCCAGTTTAATAAAATATACGAGATAAATGAAAAGTCCTCAATTCCAAATAAGTTAGTCATCAAAAAGCTATTAGAAAAATTATTTCACACAAAATAATTTATAGCTAAGAATTGGTAACTAATACTAAACATTTACTGCTTAAAAATAAAAGTATATAAAATGAATTTTATTAATGTTTATAATGATTTGTGTAAAATTCCGTATTAGATATATAAGATACAAGGTTAGTATATACAACAAAGTTGCTTGTAACCTACTGGTGTATAAGTGAGACTAAAATGAACAAGAGGTATTTGGTTCAAGTCCTAAGGAGGGTGTTTATTTTTGGATAAAATATGTGTAACATTGAATTCCGGTTTCTGGTCTAACCGGCCGGAATTTCCGGAATTGACCGGATCTGACCGGCATTGACCACAATTAAATACCGGCCTCTTTCCACCCGGTTTAATGACCGATACCGGTTGAACCGGCCAGCATGAAACCGGTTTGACAACCATGCTCCAGACAAAGGAAAGAGACAAGAGTTGTTGGCTAACCTGACTTGTGCATTACGGGAAATGAGAGAATCAGAGATCTGCGCGCAATAATTACAACAACTATCGTACTGCCAGGGCCGATCCATAATATTTGGAGGCCCTGTTCGAAAATTTGAAATGTGGCCCAAAAGAATTTTTTCGCAAATTTATTAAAAAAATTCACAAAAAGTTTATGAAGATCTCCTTTTTGAGCTTGAGTTAACAACTCAATCCTCTATTTTTTATGCTTAGAACTACCCTATTCTAATTTTTTAGTGGACATAATTAAAAATTGTTACAAAACATTAATGATTCCACTCGGCAAAAGTAGGAAAACAAGAGGTTAAAGCTTGAAGTCAAGACCATTTTCAACATAAACTACAACAAATTAAAGCTAGACCAGCAGTATTTGCTAGGAATACGAAATGAATTAATGCAATGTTTAACATAGTTTTTTTTTAAGGAAAATTACAAACTTACATCATAAATAACCTGCACATTTTTTTTATTAGAATGCAAGGTTCACTCGGCCCAAAATAAAATAGGCAGGGCCTCATTTTGAACTGCAAATAGTCAAATGCAAGGTTGGTAAAAAATAGGTATGGATCGGCCCGCCCATTTCAATTCTCAAATTTTTTTTAAATATATGTATTAGTGTATGGGCCAAGATGAGGCCTCAAATATTTTGAGGTCATATGTTATGGGTCAGACTAGCACAGGTCTTGCCCGGGCCTGCGTACAGCTAAATTGGCTAATGTACACAAAAGTGGTATGCGACATTTACCAATATGATCTTTTTCCGAGCCTTGATGGCGAGAAAATTTATCTATGATTGAAATAATATAATTTAGTACCTATTGTTTAGTCTCATATCGTTTAGTACGTACCTAAACTTTGTAGAAAGTTACAAACACGTCTACCATTCATCCATTATGTATGGCAAAACTATATTTTGATACCTTAATATTTTGATACCTTAATAGCTAGAAAATAAAATTTACAACCACGTCCAAAGTTACGGATGCCAATTTAACTTTGCAAACAAAATCCATAACTTTGAAATTGGCTCGAAACGTATCAATTCGAAATTCTCGGAACCAAATTAATCCATTCAAATTTTATGTTGACAATCGGATCAAGTTGATCCAATTAGTAATACAATTTGATAAAATTAATCTGTTACACTTACAATTCCTCATCCAAACAACCCAAACAATTTTCAACAAATTACAATCTAAAGTTGGTATATGATCAGCTAGGTCTCCTCGTATAGTGTACTCGAATGACTTAAGCGAGATGTACTCTACATTGCCTTTTCTCTAACAAAGTGGCTTGTTCATCTTTCTGGGAACATTCTGGATTCTGGAACCACATACGCTATTATATTATGAAACCAAAAGACCCATGCTGGAGGAAAGATTCGTATTCTAATACCGGGATAGAAGAACAGCAACTACTACAAAGACACATCCCACACCCGCAAGAACATTCGAGATTGACCCTTCTCAGTAGAGATTCCTAGTGAAGTGGAACCCAAGACAGGAACAGTAGTAAAGTAACACTCACAACCCCTTTGCGACTAAGTTGTCTCTGCTTTCTGTCTTTTTCTCCTGCAAAGTGACCGATCAATTGAACGCAGACTTCTGATCACGCGCCCATTTCCACTATAACTACTAACGAACCCATTCCAACAATGGTGCTTCACTCTTCTATCAAAATGCCACCGACCACTTTTCTTCGATGTTGATCTATAGATAGCTCTCTCTCTCTCTTCCCTCTCTCTCTTCCCACTCTTTTGCTTACTCTGTTCACTTTGCCCTGTCTCTCACCGCCGTTCATTGTCCAGATTGGATCACGATGAATACTATAGCTCCTCCGCATTCTCCTCTCTTCCCAGACCAGTATCCTATTTTAGGAAGAGGAATGAACGGCAGCAATCTGCTACCCACGTCACCAAACAGCTCCTTCAACGAAGGAGACAATCGATTTTGTCCATCCGACCAGTGGTTGATAAGTCATTATTTGATCCAAAAGATGCTTGGAAATGAAGACCAAGTAATGCGAATCCCCCAAGTTGACATCTTAAACCACGAGCCGTGGGATCTACTGCCCACCGGTGGTGGAGGTAAATACTAGTATGACTTTCCTTTACTCCACTCTTTGCTGTTGTTTAAGTTTTTCTTCATCGTGTTAGGGGCAGAGCAACGTTACAAAGAAGCGTATTACTTCTGCCGTCGAAGGAGTTACTTCACGAGCAAGGATCGATACAAAAGGACCACAGGAGGTGGTTACTGGAAACCGACCGGCAAACATCGCGACGTTAGGAGCGGGGCTAATGGAGAAGTGATCGGAAGGAAGAGGAGCCTGGTTTTCCATTACGGTCGGCCCGGCGCGGGCCAAGGGACGGGCTACACTATGCACGAGTACTCTGTTCCGGACTGTATTGGGCAGATGCTGGGAGAAGATCTGGTTCTCTGCAAAATCATGAAGAAGATTTCGAACCGCAACAACAAAACTGAAACAGCAGCAAGAAAGCTGAGTAAGAAGAGGAAGAAGGCGGCAGTGACGCCAATAATACCTTGTGACGAAAACATCAACACCATCACTCTGCCACGGCAAGAAGAAGAAGAAGCGCACAATTACCAAGTGCCTTCTTCTGATTTCGGAAATCAAAACGTGCTCTTTCAAGAGGCAGTCAGCAATGATCATGGCAGCGCAGTGGAATTGGCGCAGTTCCCGGAGATACTGTTCGGCGACGGTGATGATCATAACCAGCTGACTGATTTTGATTTTGATTTTGATTTTGATTTTGATTTTAATTTTGATTTTGAGTTGAATTCGGCGGTCAGAGATACGCTGCCACCGTCGGAGCCGGAGCCTTTGCTCGACTAGTTTTATGGGATGGAGACCGGGTTAAGTTGACGTATGTAGTAGCTGATGACCGGTAATCTGGTTGGGAGTTGATTACTGCTGTATTCATTAGTGTGATATATTAAGCACATTTAGCTGTAAGCTGGTGTTGCTGTGTATGTGTAGCGTTTTTTTCTTATTGTCCTTCTACGGCTTTACCATCTGCATTTACTACGCTTTGTACTTGCAGCAAATTTTAATCAAATTCACCTTCTCAGTTGAATAATTGCGATAACTCGATGAGGAATAAGGCATTATCGGGTATCGTGTTAGTGAACCACGTAAATCTAGTGATGGCAATGGGGTGGGGCGGGGCGGGTACCTCAATTCTCATGTCCCGCCCCATGCTACTACGGGTCGGGGCGGGTAAAACCCACGCGGGTACGGGGCGGGGCGGGTCGACCCACTCTTACATGTTGTTCAAAAAAAATACTAGTAAATTTTACTCTTTACAATAAAACGTAGGGAAAAACACTTTAAGAATGAAAAATATTGATAATAGAATGGATAATTGAGCCTCTAACAAGTTGAAAGATCGACTCTAACTAGTTGAAGAAAAGTCAAAATAGCAGAAATATGTATAGATATTGTAAGAAATTGAGATAAAATGAGTCTAGAACGGGGCGGGGCGGGGCAGGGCAGGGCGGATCGGAAGTAGATACTCATGTCTCGCCCCATGCTACTGTGGGTCAGGTAATACCCGCCCCATCGCGGGTCAGGTCGGGTAATACCCGTGGGGTGGGTTGAAATTGCCATCACTACGTAAATCCTGTGTCTATTTTCGATTTTTGCTTTCGTTTTCTTGCTATGTCGATTCCGGCGATTTCCCGATCCGTAGCAACGCAGTTATAACATGAATTCGAAATTTCTTGCCAAATACAATATGTAATGTTAGCACTTTGTAGCTAGAAGAAGAAGAAGGGGGAAAAAAGCTTTTTAGAAATTTGTTGTTATCTAAGACAATCGAGATAATGTTGTTGAGCAAGATCGCCGTGAATAATGATGTAAATATTAACATGTATTAGTTCGATTACCAAGGTTATTTTTAAGTTATTCAAAGCTAAAAATCTTCCTTTAACATTTTTCGTTGCAATCTGTAAAATTGATTGATTGTTCGGACGATGAATTTATAGAATGATGCAATTTGATCTAATTGCCTCACAGAAATGCATCATTTGATAATATAGTGGAGCGATTAAGCCCGGCAGAAGAGAAGAATTTAGTTTGATTTTACTTGTGAAGTTGAGATAGGAATAGACGATCTCAAGGATTTGATAATATGGGATGAGAACATACATCACATTTTAGGTTCGAATTATTAGATTAATAACGATGAATTTTTTTTTTTTTTAACAAACAGATGGAAGAAGATAATCAAGAAATATTTCGAGGGAAGGGCAGAGAAATGCAGTAATGTAAGTAGCTGAAGATTAATATCCCTGAAGCCAATTATGCATATACTTTAAAAAAAAAAAAAATATATATATATATATATATATATGTGATCATTACTCAGCGTTTTCATATCATATCGATCGACTTGTAGCAATAGAGACATTATTAATAGTAACACCCACATCTTTGCAAGTTCAAACCCTATAGACGTGATTAATTTATGGCTTCCCCTCATCCAAAACAACAACAACAATCATACACCGTCAGATTATTTACGGGTTCTGCCACGGCAGCTGCTGCAGGTATTCCACCGTGGCCACGTCCAGCTGAAACGCCTTGGCCAGAACGTCGGACAACACCGCCGGCACCGCTCCGAACAGCGTGTTCGCCGTGGTCACCACCCCGGGGTTCTGGCTGTTCAAAATGGCAAACCCCACCGCCTGACGCGACCCGATGTTCCACTGGAAGTGGATCAAGCCGAGGGGAAACACGAAGACGTCGCCGGCGGTGAGGATCTTGGCGAAGAGGCGGTGGGTGGGGTTGGCGGTGATGAATCCGACGTAAAGGGTCCCCTTGATGAGGTAGAAAATCTCGGAAGCACGCGGGTGGTGGTGGGGCGGGTTGAGCCCGCCGTTGGCCGCCAGGTCGACCCGGCCCAGGGACAGGCCCATGGTGTTCAGGCCCGGGATCGAATCCGCCGTCAGGAGGGTGACGTTGACGCCGAGCCTGTTTGATGTTCTGCGAGGGACGTTGAGGCCCGTGTAGAAGAAATCGTTCGGGCTCACTTTGCGGGGATCCTTGCAGAATTTCCCGTTGACATAAACTGCAAGCCAAATTCCATACAAGTTATATACATGTATGAAAGCTAGTCAAAATATGAACAAGTTGAAAAAAAAATATGTACCGCCATGGATGGAGTGGTTGACTGCAACGCAGAGATCTTGGAGAGGGTTTGGATCGTAGGCGGCTGTTGGGTGGGAGAAATTGGCAGTAGTGATTAGTAGAGTGGCCGCTAACAGGGTATAGGCTTGGAGAAGAAGATGAGCAACGCCTTCCATGGTTTGCTTGCCCATATCGATGACTGGTTTAGCTGGAGAAGTTGGAGTTGATTTATACAGAGCCGGTCGAGGGATGAAAGTTAAGTTACAGGGATGGTTTAGGTATCGCCTAAATACAAAAACTTTCCTCAATTCAACTACTCGCTAAATCTGGATTTACATAATTATATATTCTACCTACCTCAAATCCATGAGGAGACTTACGCTAGGTTGCGCTATACAATCCTGTCCGGCTAAATTGGTCCGAATCATCCGTTTTCGGTCCGGTCTTTTCGAGTATATAAGCACCAAAAATTGGATTAGATACAGTCCGGTCTTGAACCAGTCCGGTCCCAATTCAGACTTGATTTTAGATTGAGTTTGTGGGAATTTGAGTTGCCTGAGGGGGGATTTGAGTGGCCTAAGACCTGAAAGGGTGAGGAGGTTAAATTTTGGATGTTGGGCTCTCTTATCCGGTCTTTATATGGTTTTCGGTCCGGTCCCAAACGATTTTTAACTCAAATCTAGGCCCGAATATTGAATTGAATTGTTTGCTATCCGGTGTCGATCCGGTCTCGGTCCGAGTTATACGGTCCGGTTTCGGGTAAAACCAAAAAGCCCGAATCAAATAGCCAGCCCTAGCTCATAGTGCTGGCTATTTGGTGTGGGTTTTTTTGTTTTACCCGAAACCGGACCGTATAACCCGGACCGAGACCGGACCGGGACCGGGTAGTAAACAATCCAATCCAATCTTTGGGCTTAGATTTGAGGTAAAAAACCGTTCGGGACCGGATCGAAAAACTGGATAAAGACCGGATAAGAGAGCTCAACACCCAAAACTTAAGGGTAATTTGCATAAACGGTCACAAACGTTTGCACTTAGTACAAAACTTAACCAACTCCTTACCCTTTCAGGCCTTAGGCCACTCAAATCCCCACAAGTTCAATATAAAATCAAGACCGAGTTGAGACCGGACCGGGTCAAGACCGGAATGTATTCAATCTAATCTTTAGTCCTTATATTTTCAAAAAGACCGGACTGGACCGGATCAATTTAGACCAATTTAACCGGACCGGACCGTATAGCCACCTCTACTAGCGCACATGACCAAGGACAAAAATAGGTATTGTATAATCTGGCTTGCTAAAGTTACTGGTTTTCTTTCTTATGAATTTTATAAATATAATAGAAAAATAGATTGAATTTGCATTTGGACGGGACTGAATGCAATGATATATAATCTTTAGTACTAAGATGTTCTTTACTATTAGACCGTGATTCTCATAAATTTGATCCGATCTAGACGTAAGGTTTTTAGCACAGTGGGCAGTGTAGTACTTATTCTTGCAGTATTTAACACAGTGTGCGTGATCAGTTGGTAAGTGGTTGAAATTAAGGTTGGTAAAAGGTTTTATGCATCTTTGCAGTATGCATTGAAGACGGAACTGGTAAACGCCATGGCATGGGTCATTCAAAGTTTCTTGATTGGGATGTAGGACGTTTTGGAGGATGAATTACCACTCTTCATTGCTACAATCCTTTTTTGGAACAATGTCGTTGTTGCTTATAATCTCTAACCATATAAGATTCCTCTTTGGACTTCCATGACACCTTATTTGGTCGTATTTATCAAATGTTGAGTTTGTTCAAATAGAGATGACCAATTCCTAAATGAGAATGAACCAACTAACAATATAACGAAGTTTAGGACGAATATTTAAGTAGGGGTCATTCAATGAACATAGCATGTTAATGCACAACTTAGCTTTCATTGAGTTTTGTACTTACTTAGCATTTATAAACCCTAGATTGCTCTCCTTCAAAGCTTGCTATGCAGCTTTGAAAATTGATATCCTTCTAAAGCTTCCATGACCAAGTCCCTTAAATGACGTATATGAACCTTAATCTTTTTGAAGTGAACTCTTTATTGTACAAAAAACAATAAATTTTCTCATGTTAACTAAGTTGTCAGTTATATAAATATTTTCCATACAACCTTCACTTCTTTTAATTTTGTTTTCTGTCTTTAATTTTGATTCTCCTTCTTAAACATATAAGTTAAGGACAGACTAGTGAAAATATAAATAAATATTTAGAAGATAAATAATTGATCATAAAATATATATTGTACGACAATATTGAAGAATCGATCTCAATTCTCATAATTAGAAAAGAAAGCGTCAGTCAAATGTCACATAGCCCAATTGGTAAAATTCTCTAGAGACCCTCGAGCGGGAAGTGTGAGGTCCCGTGTTCGACCCACCTCGAGGCTAGTTGTGGTGTTTCCAGAGGCACCAAAAGTGGGTCTTAGTGAAGCAAATAAATTATTTGCATCGGACGTCTCTGTCTATAATTCTCTTTAGAAGCAAATGTAGATGCAAATAATATTTGCTTCTAATTAAGGAATCTGAATCAAATCTTATTGATTGTAATTCCACTTTAAAGAACCTATCTTTTTCTCTTCTTATTTGATTTTATAGAGAAATTTTTTTATTCCTATTTCTAGTTTTGGAGACAATTATATTTGTTTCTAGAACACCTTACCGAAGCAAATATTTGCATTGTAATTTTTTTGCTTTTATTTCAACTTTCATAATTTTGATTAATATTTTAAATTTTACATTCAATTAGACAAATAAAATAATAATTCAAATTTTATTAAGAACATTTTAATACATTTATTCTTAAAATACATGAATACATTGGCCAAAACATAAATACAAAAATAAATAAAGAATACATTGTGTCTACTCTCCTTTTTTTTTTACTTGACCAAATCTCAAACAACTGCATACAGAACAGATCGATTCAATTGAGGCCTCTGCTGCAGCTGCTTCTTCGACCTGAAGCTAGCAAAAGATCGTACCATCCAACCCCAAAGAAACCGATCAGGAGAACAGGCGAAGAAGCTCCACCCTCTAACGCGAAAGATGGATTTTGTGGAAGAGGAAGCTCAACTAATGTTTGAGTCCTCTGTTCCTTTTTTATAGATAGGAAAGTAATTAAACAAAACTACGACAGATGTCCTTACACGATAGGCTAGATATTTAAATAAACGGTAAAGTTTAACGGCTAACAACGGCTAACAACTACTAAGCGATCCGGTGCGTTTTGCCTCTTCTTTCTCCACGACTTAGCAAGACGACGCCGTTCCTCTCTTCTCCTCTGATCCACTTCGAATCCTTCTGCAATAAGGATTGCAGACTTCTCTTGTTCTTCATCAAACCAACAACACTTCATTTCAACTCTGTCATCCCCCCTCAAGTTGGTGGTATCAACCTTATCCCCAACTTGACCAATAATTCCTTCAACCTGAATCGATCCAACCCTTTGGTGAAGATGTCAGCTAACTGCTCATTAGTATTGATGTACTGCAGCTTGATCAAACCAACCTTTACCCTTCCCCTTGTAACATGCATGTCAATCTCGATGTGTTTTGTTCTCTCATGAAACACTGGGTTCTCTGCTATATGAATAGCAGATCTATTATCACAATAAACTGTTATGGGTAAAGGTACCTGTATGGTCAGCTCTGACAGCAGCCTTTTCAACCACTCAACTTCACAAACTAGATGTGCCAATGCCCTGTACTCTGCTTCTGAGGATGATCTTGAGACTGTGGTCTGTTTCATAGTTCTCCAAGTAACCAAAGAAGAGCCAAGCTTGGTACAATATCCAGTAATGGACCTTCTTGTGTCAGGGCAACTTGCCCAATCAGAATCACTGTATGCTGTCATCTTCAATTCTGCTTCACTGCTAAAGTGGATTCCTTGGTCTGGTGAGGACTTCAGGTACCTAAGAACTCTGTAGGCTGCCTGCATATGTTCCACACAAGGATTCTTCTGATATTGACACAGCTGTTGCACAGCAAATGTAATGTCTGGCCTAGTGATGGTTAGATAGTGCAATCTTCCCACCAACCTTCTGTATCCTTCTGCATCTTCAAGTGGAGTACCTTTAGATGTCAGCTTCACTTTAGTATCAATAGGTGTCTTGCACCCCTTTGACTCCAGGTAACCTGTGTCCTTTAAAAGCTCCAGACAATATTTTCTCTAGCATACATCCAAACCATCTGAGGTTCTACTGACCTCTAATCCCAGAAAGTACTTGAGAGGCCCCAGCAGCTTGATCTTGAATTCCTTACTCAATGCTACCTTTACCTGCTCAATGTCCTTCCTAGAATCTCCCCCCAGAATTATATCATCAACATAAACCAAAAGCACTGTAATCTTTCCATGAGTCCATTTAGTGAATAATGAATAATCTGAGGCAGACTGTGAAAAACCAAACTTCAATAGAAAGTTTGTGAGCTTGGCAAACCACTGTCTGGATGCCTGCTTTAGGCCATACAGTGACTTCTTCAAACGACAAGTCATTCTTTGATTACTTCCTGAAGGAACTTCTAAACCAAGAGGTAACTTTATGTACACCACTTCTTCTAGGTCTCCATGCAGAAGTGCATTGGAGACATCAAGCTGCTCCAAGATCCAATGCTTGGCACTTGCTACTGCTAAGAAGGTCTTTACTGTGTTGATCTTAGCCACAGGGGAATAGGTATCAAGAAAGTCTATTCCATAAACCTGTGTATACCCCTTAGCAACTAGCCTAGCCTTGTTTCTCTCCAATGACCCATCTGATCTAAGTTTAATTTTGTAAACCCACTTATTTCCCACTTCTTTTGCTCCTGGTGGTAAAGGGACAATGTCTCAAGTCTGATTCTCTTCTAGAGCATACATCTCATCCTTCATGGCTCTATTCCACACATCTGATTTTATAGCTTCATAGTATGACTTAGGTTCAACCAGGTTAATGACATTCATCACAAAACTTTGATCTTCTTTACTGAGAGAATCAACATTCAGACAGATAGGATACCTGCTGCTTGACTGAGCAGTGCCAAAAGCTCCAAACTTGAGAGTAAGATCTAACTGGTAGTCATTGTATTTGCTTGGTAGAGTAACAGTTCTAGATGATTTCCTGTTCCCAAGAATGTTTGGATCATCTAGATCCACATCAGCTTGTGGGTGCAATTCCTGCTCATCAGAATCAAAGTATGAATAATGATCATTAACCACTGTGGTAGGTGACACCTCATGCTCAGAAGTCCTCCCTTCATCAATTGATGAAACAGGCTGAGGAGGAGGTGGACTGTGAGAAGAAGGATGAGAAGAAAAGGGAATTTGGATTGGTGGAGCAGGAACTGGAAAAGAAGTGGAAGGATTGGAAGGGGGTGGAGGTGGAAAAGAAGTGGAAGGTGTATCCAGTTGTTTAAAAGGTAGGATAGTTTCATAAAAGGTGACATTCCTGGAGAAGAAAACTGTTCTGGTATGGATATCAAGGACTTTGTACCCTTTAATCCCTGCTGGAATCCCCAGGAATACACACTATCTTGCCCTTGGGGCAAACTTAGTTCTGCCATGAACAAGGGTGGTGGCATAGCATAAGCAGCCAAACACCTTCAAGTGCCCCAGGGATGGCACTTGCTTATAAAGAATCTCAAAGGGAGTTTTGTTGTCAAGGAGAGGTGTGGGAATCCTGTTGATCAGATAAACAGAATGCAGAATGAAGTCACTCCAGTAGGAAAGAGGCAAACCATATTGAAACTTTAAACATCTAGCCACATTCAAAATGTGCTGATGTTTTCTCTCCACTCTCCCATTCTGTTCAGGTGTCTCTACACAGGAGACCTGATGTTCAATCCCTTCTGCTGAAAAATACTCACACATCTCAAACTCCTTTCCCTGGTCTGTTCTGATAATTTTCACTGTTGTGTGAAACTGGTTCTTGACCAGATTACAGAACCCTTGAATCAAGCCTCTTACTTCACTTTTGTGTCTCATCAGATATACCCAAACACATCGAGAATGATCATCCACGATAGTAAGAAAATATGCAAATCCATCATAAGATACAGTAGATAATGGACCCCAAATATCCATGTGCATTAAATGAAAGACTGCAGGTGCAACACTGGTGCTACAGAAAAGGGAAGTTTGTGTTGCTTGGATAAATGGCATACATCACAATTAACTGTCTTAAGTTTGGAAACAGATGGAATTACATTGCTAAGTAAAGTTTGCATGTCATGACTAGGATGACCCAATCTCCAATGCCATAGGTTCAGGTCTTGAGGATGAAAGTTGAATGCAAAGGCTGCTTGGTGAAGGTGATTTGGTGGGGAAGGCTTGTTTGGTCTTGAAGAAAGGGCAAGCTGGTAGAGACCTCTACTTGTGTGAGCTAAACCAATCCTCTTCTGGCTTAATAGGTCCTGAATTTCACATTTATCAGATTGAAAGTGTAAGGAATAGGGGTTATCATGAGTAAGCTTGCTAACAGATATGAGGTTAAAGGAAAACTGTGGAACTAGCAAGACATCATGTAAGGTCAAACCACAATCCAATTGGACTGTTCCTATACATGTAACTGCTACCCTAGTGTTGTTGGGAAGATAGACAAAGGAATTCTGTATTGGCTTATAGCTAGAAAAGAGTGAAAGACTACAAGCAATGTGATCAGAAGCTCCTGTGTCTACAATCCATAAGGTAAGATTGTGTGTTTTACTACTTTGAGAGGATGACAGGACATGTTTACCTGAAAAACTGGGATATGGGGAAGGATAATAGGTAGCTGAGTAGGCTTGGTGGTTAATTGATGGTGAAGTAGGTGGTGAGGGTTGTGTGTTAGCACCAGTTTGCAGAAGAAACCTGAGTCAATTCATTTCTTCAGCAGTAAATCCAGGTGGATTCGATGCTTTACCTTCATTAGACACACTGCCTTCAGAGACATTCTCATTCCCACTTCCTTGAGAAATTGAACCAGCAAACCTTGGAGTGCTGAAGCTTGAGCTAGAACTCGAATTTGATCCATTACCATTGCCTTCTCTCTCCTGTTTCTTCTTCAGCTTCCAACAATCCTCTATAGTGTGATTGTTCATCTTGCAAAATCGACAGAATTTTCTCCCCCTTGCTTCATTGTTCTCCCTGGAACTATTGTCCCTTGAACTGTTTTCTCTTGAGCTGTTGTCTCTTGTATTGTTACCACCAACTGCAAGAGCCAGATTCTGTCCTCTCTTTCCTCCCATAGCTGCATCAGCCTTCAACTTTTGCTCATGTTGAAGAAGGTCATCCACTGCTGTTGAAACTGTAGGCAGTGGCTTTTGCAGCAATAACTGTGTCTTGATCACTTCAAACTCTGGGTTAAGTCCTCTCAGAAACCTCACCAGGTAGTCAGTTTCTTGCTTCTGCACAAATGCAGTTACAGCAGCACAAGGCATGGGATTTCCAGGGGCACAGGTGCATGGTATGATGGGGCAAAATTCCACATATTCATCCCATAGGCCTTTGATAGCTGTGTAGTACTGGTTGATGGACTTAGAACCTTGTTTGCAGGCCTGGATCTCATCCTCAATGTTCATGATCCTTAAGGCATTGGGTAACCCAAAGCGCCTCTTTAGTTCATCCCACAACGTCTTAGCATTAGTGTGATTCAACACAGATCTGCGAATCTCCTTTGTCATAGAGTTTTGCAGCCAACAAAGTACTACAGTGTTACAAGCATCCCAGAGACTAAACAGATCTTATTCTCTAGGAGGTATTGGCAGTGACCCATCAATGAATCCTACTTTGTTCTTAGTTTTCAACACTACTTGTATGGATCTACTCCACACATCTGTCCGAAGAAATGATTCATCGAAATAATGAGCCACCATTGATATCGACACATCTGAGATCGCCAAATGTTCGGGAGTTCGTCTATTCAACCCTTTTCCTTCTTCTTGTTGCTGGATATCTCGTTCGTACACATCTTCTCTTTGTTTCCCGAGCCTATAGTGAGTTACAGACAGAGTTCGAATGTAACATCCCAGCCCTCGTACTAGTATTACGTTATAATTACGTGGTTGTGATTGGGTTACAAAAATTAGTCTTTTGAACCAAAAAGAAAGTGAATAGTGGAAGTGCTAGACTTAATTGCATGTGAAGGAAAGTTTAGGGCCAAATAGACAATTTGGAGGGATGGAGAATTCTAGATAAGGGAGATAAAAATCTGCCCATCCTCTTATCTCTCATTTCCTTCTCATCCCTTCCCCTCACTCTCTCCCACGTCCATCTCTTGCTCTCTTCCTTTCACCTGGTTCCACCACCTCAAAAACCACCACCCCCTTTCAGAAACAAAGAGTGAAAGCTAGAAAGAAAAGCATATCAAGGAGAGGAAGAGGAAGAAGAAGAAGGAGGCAAAGGGGGTGCTGCCAATTTCCGTCCAGCAGCGAGACAGCCTGTGAGAAGGACGATTCCGGACAATCAAACCGTTGGATCGTCCTGATATTTGTAGGTTGGGTTTCATACGTCTTTGGCTACGATGTGACCGTTGGGATCATCGATATGATCTCTGGTTCATCGAGGAAAGTCGCTGGACAGAAGGGGTGCGATACTGTTTTTCTGTAGCAGGACAGCAGATTAGAGGTAAGATCCTGTGCGAATCCGTCGTTGGATCGTTCTAGAAATTTGGTATGAGGTTAAGTATAGGTGGTTCTTCGAATTGACCGTTCAGAATATAGTTTTGATGTCGGAGTGGTCAGGAACAATTGTTAGAAGAAGGAGAGTTGGTTTTAAAGTGAAAGAAAGTTGTTGACAGTTTTGAAATGTCGAGTTAAAATGATTTCTGGGATCAAAAGGCTGATCCAAATGGTCTGAAATTTGGATATGTTGTAGCCCTATGAATCTAGTTTCAGTAGCAACGAGAATCAACGGATTTGGTTAAGTATCAAGGGAGAAATTATCAAAATGAGGAAGCATGGAAAAGTGTACAATCGTATTACTTCCCTAGTGGTCTTATTGACATGCATGAATACAACCATGATTATGATGATTGTATACGTGTCTTGGTGCTTGCATAACCTGGAAATCTTGTACATAAAGGTAAGGATCAAGCCGGGGGCTCATCCAAAGGCAAGGGCATAGCCGAGTGAAGACAAAACGGTGAGTAGATTCTAATCTTAGATCTACTTCAACATAATCACAGTATTCGGGTCATGAAGCGGCCCGAATACATATCGGGGTCATGAAGAGGCTCCGGTATAATATGGGAATTTATGGGAAATGATCTGGCTATGTGATATGGCTTATTTGTGTTTATTCATTATCTGCGTTTGGTATGAAGTTGGAAATGCATGAATTGTGAATGGGATATGGAAAGACATTTTGTTGATTTATTGTGTGGATTCTGAGTAAGTATTCGAACTTGCGAACCCGTGTTGTCTGTTTAGATTTGGAGTAAGCCATTAGGCTTACTAAGCCTGTTTTGCTTGAATAACTCGGAATCAGCTCCTCAACTGACATTCCGTTCTGTGGTGACTGAGGGTGCAAAAGCACTATGAATGCTTTTGAGCCTATAGTGTCTAGTGAACTATTAATGAAAAGAGGTGAATACATAAGAATAAGTAAAAAGGCTTTATGATACCTCGGTACAGTAGTGTGACCTGTTTGTATCGATGTGGGGTAAACCCCACGATACTCCTGTTTGAGCGCTCGTGCTCCGCACCGTGCCGAGTGGGTGACGACCCACGGTACTCCTGTTCTGTTCAGTTAGCCGGGCTGGGGTAATCCCGTGGCGACTCCTGTTTTTGTATCGGTCCGGGTTGTGTCCCGCGATATTCCTGTTGGTGCGAGCACTCCTGTTTTGTGCCTTGAGCACTCCTGTTTCGTGCCTTGTGCACTCCTGTTCGTACCGGATGGGGTTTTGTCCCGCGGTACTCCAGTTAACTGATGGCTGTACATGGTTATCCTGCAGCCTTCCAATACTGTACAACCCGAGGAGTATATCATTTAGCAAATTTGAAAGTGAAATTGTATATGCAAAATGCCTCTATCTATCACACGTTGTATGTGTTTGACTGTGATGAGTTGTGAATATGGGAAGTTGATTGATTCAGTAAAATGAAAAGTGTGATAAAACAATTTAAGTCCTGTTATGTGCTAGGGTGTTTCTGCCCAATACTGTTTTTGTATTGATGTCGACCCGAGCTTAGAATTTATTCACTGAGCGACGACTCATCCTTCGTCACCATTTTTCCTCAGATCAAGATCAGAAGTAAGGTCTGTACTGTAGATATCGGGACTCAAGCGTGAAGGGAAGCCATGAGGTGGGCGGAGGACTCCGAACTCCTTAAATGTTTTATGTTGTGTGGATTTTGTAATAAAGCGGACTTCCCCGGTTTCTGTTTTGACTCTGAAGGAAATGTATATTATGGTTTGAAGTTAAAAAAAAAAAAAATATGTAAAGCTCGGGCCCGAGAATGTTTAAACTCGATGTATTTTACTGTTTCGTTTTGTAATATAAAGTAAGGGTTTCACATTTTTTGTATCAGAGCTGGGATATGATCCCGTGGATACAAAACGTTTTAAACGAGATTTTACTGGGAAAACTTAAATGATTTCACGGGGAAGTGACTAATTATTGATTTTGCCTTTGTATTTTGTTTTTGTGGAGTTCAGTCAAGGAGCAGATCCGCAACCTCACGGGAACCCTAATGGTGGAGGTTCTAATTTTAATGGGAATAATGCTGAGTCCCGCAATAGAGCCAATCCTTATGTCAAGGATTTTGAAAGGCTGAGGAATATGGGGGCTGAGTTCTTTAAAGGGGCTATTGACCCTAAAGATGCTCTGGACTGGATCAAGGAGATTGAACGAATCTTTAACCTCCTTGAGTGTCCTGATGAAGCAAGAGTGGAGTATATGTACTACCTGCTCAGGTCTGATGCTTATGACTGGTGGTTGACCGTACCCGGGGCTCAGGATCGTACAATTCGGTATACTTGGGCGGAATTTCTTGATAAATTCCGTAAGCAATATGTGCCTGATCTGTATGTGGATAGGAAGAAGAAAGAGTTTCTGGACCTGAAACAACAAAGGGGGCAGACTGTTAAAGAGTATGATGCCATTTTCCATCGTTTGATGACCTTCGCGATGGAGTTGGTACCTACTGAACGTGCTAGATGCAACCGCTATGAGCAAGGCCTGAATCCCCAGATCAAGATGATAGTAGCAAAATCAGAAACGACTGATCTTGCCACCTTGAGAGAGGCTGCCATGAGAGCAGAGGATTTGGTGAATGAATTGGGAGCACAGATGGATGAAGGAAGGAAGAGAAAGTGGAAGAACGTGGGTTCCTCGAGTGCTGGGAACTCATTCGGGGGTAGACCTAATCAGAGTCCGAAGGTTTCGCGTCCAGTGTCCAGTTACCCTGGACAGGAGCGGAGAAGTGCAGGCCCAGCTTCTATTTGCCCACATTGTGGGAATCAGCATATGGGTGTTTGTAGGAGGGTAACTGGTGGGTGTTTCCGATGTGGAGACACCAGCCACTTTCTCCGCGATTGTCCCCACATGTCAGAGTCCAGGCCTGCTGGATCCCAGACCACAATTCAAGGGTCCAGAAGGACTGGAGGTTCAGTGAGAGGATCAGGAAGAGGTGGTAATAATCGTGGCAAAAGTCAGGGTGGACAGAGCAGTCGGGGTGAAGTGCAGCCACGAGCCTTTGCTATGACTAGGAGGGAGGCTGACATCTCTCCAGAGGTCGTTACTGGTACGGTTCTTATCTACGATCTTGCCGCTTATGCGTTGATTGATCCTGGTGCCACTCATTCATTCATATCGTCTGCATTCTCACGTGGGTTGCCTGTGCACTCTGAAATGTTGAACAAGAATGTAATAGTTCAAACCCCAGTAGGAGATACCGTAGTGATTGAATATGCCTATCCTGATGCCCCAATAAGTCTAGCTGGAACTATTCTGCCAGCTAACTTATTGAGGTTAATGCTGACTGAATTTGATATAATTCTAGGAATGGATTGGTTAAGCCAACATAGAGCCGTAATGAACTGTTATACTAAGGAAGTAATTTTCGAAAGACCAGATGGTCAGAATGTGATTTTTCGAGGGACTAGACAGGTGGTGCCTAGTTGCCTAGTCTCGGCCACCAAGGTGGTGAGTTTGATGAAGGAAGGCTGTGAAGTGTATCTGGCTTATGTGACTGAGGGCAAACCGGAATTGAAACCTGAAAATGTTCCGGTTGTGAAGGAGTTCCTGGATGTGTTCCCTTCGGAACTGCCAGGATTACCTCCGGAAAGGGAAATAGACTTCACTATTGAACTGATACCGGGCACTGCTCCGATCTCTGTATCTCCGTACCGGATGTCTCCGTTTGAACTTAAAGAACTGAAGGAGCAACTTCAAGAGTTGCTAGATAAGGGGTTCATTAGACCTAGTGTCTCCCCTTGGGGCGCTCCGGTATTATTTGTGAAGAAGAAGGATGGAACTTTTTGTCTGTGTATTGACTACCGGAAGCTCAACAAGTTAACGGTTAAGAATAAATATCCGTTACCTCGGATTGATGATTTATTTGACCAACTACAAGGATCGAGGGTCTTTTCGAAGATTGATCTAAGATCATGTTATCATCAATTAAGGGTAGCGGATGAGTCCATACCGAAGACAGCTTTTCGTACTAGGTATGGGCATTACGAATTTCTTGTTATGCCTTTCGGGTTAACCAATGCTCCAGCTGTGTTCATGGCACTGATGAACCGAGTGTTTCAGGAATATCTAGATAAGTTTGTGATCGTCTTTAGTGATGATATTCTAGTGTATTCTGGAAGTGAAGAAGAGCACATGGAGCATTTGAGAATCGTACTGCAGATTCTGAGGGAAAAGCAGTTGTATGCTAAGTTCAGCAAATGTGAATTTTGGATGGATCAAGTAGTATTTTTGGGCCATGTGGTGTCTGAGAGAGGTATAGAAGTGGATCCAAGGAAAGTAGAAGCAGTGATACAATGGGAGCCACCGAAAAATATACCTGAACTAAGAAGTTTCCTTGGCATGGCCGGATATTACCGAAGGTTCATTGAGGGGTTCTCTCTGATTGCTGCACCATTGACAAAGTTACTGAGGAAAGAGCAATCTTTTATATGGGATAATAAATGTCAATCCAGTTTCGAAGAGTTGAAGCGGAAGTTAACCACTGCACCGGTTCTTGCCCTTCCCTCAGGAACTGGAGGTTATGTGGTATACAGTGATGCTTCGCATCAAGGGTTAGGATGTGTTCTCATGCAACATGGCAAAGTAATTGCTTATGCTTCCAGACAATTACGACCGTATGAGAAATCTTATCCGACTCATGATTTAGAACTAGTGGCTGTGGTATTTGCCTTAAAGATTTGGCGTCATTATTTGTACGGTGAGACTTTTCAGATCTTTACTGATCATAAGAGTCTCAAGTACTTGATGGAGCAAAAAGAGCTAAATCTTAGGCAAAGGAGGTGGTTAGAGTTGTTGAAAGATTACGACTGTACCATCGAATACCATCCAGGCAAAGCAAATGTTGTGGCAGATGCTTTGAGTCGAAAGACCACGCATCGTACTAAAAATGAGGAGACTGGTTAATGGCAAATTTGATTGCTTTGAGAGCTATGAGTGTTGAATTGGAAATGAATTCCACAGGAGGGTTATTGGCCACTTTACAAGTGCGACCAATTCTGAGAGAAAGAATTATTAAAGTTCAGGATCAAGACCCTGAATTGAGGAAGATTATTGATAAGAGTCGTAAAGGGGAAGAAACTAAATTCACACTCCGAGATGGCGTTCTGACACTAAATGAAAGACTTTGTGTTCCAAATGTGGATGAATTGCGAAGGGAGATTTTGGAAGAAGCTCATTCCTCTCCTTATGCAATGCATCCCGGAACGACAAAAATGTACCGTTCATTGAGATCTCATTATTGGTGGCCAAGGATGAAGAAAGAAGTGGCTGAACATGTCTTGACGTGTCTGGTATGTCAGAAAGTGAAAGCTGAACATCAAGCCCCAGCGGGAAAATTGCAACCACTGTCCATTCCAGAATGGAAATGGGAAAAGATTACCATGGACTTTGTCTATGGTCTACCTAGGACTCAGAAGAAGAACGACGCCGTTTGGGTCATTGTGGACCGATTGACAAAGTCGGCTCACTTTATACCCATTAGATGGGGTTGTTCGCTAGAGTTACTGACAAAGAAGTATGTGGAGGAAATAGTGAGACTACATGGAGTACCAGTATCCATCGTCTCTGACAGAGATCCGAGGTTCACTTCTCGATTCTGGAAGAGTTTGCAAGAAGCACTAGGTACTCGTCTGAACTTTTCAACCGCTTTTCATCCCCAGACCGATGGTCAATCCGAGCGAACAATCCTCACTCTTGAGGAAATGTTGCGAGCTTGTGTACTGGATTTCCAAGGTTCTTGGGATGAACATTTGCCACTGATTGAATTTGCTTATAACAACCAGTACCATAGTAGTATTGGTATGGCTCCATACGAAGCTCTGTATGGAAGGAAATGCAGATCCCCAGTGTGCTGGGATGAGGATGGGTTACGGCAATTGGAGGGACCTGAAATCGTTCAGATGACAGTGGATAAGATTAAAGTGATCAGAAGCCGATTGAAAGCCACACAAAACCGGCAAAAGAGCTATGCTGATATCCACCGAAGAGAGATGGAATTTCAGAGTGGAGAGAAAGTATTTTTGAAAGTGTCTCCTTGGAGAGGTGTTTTGAGATTCCAGAAGAAGGGTAAGTTAAGTCCGAGGTATATCGGACCTTATGAGATTCTGGAAAAGATAGGTCCGGTAGCCTATCGACTTGCCTTACCACCAGAATTGTCTCAAGTTCATGATGGCTTCCATGTGAGTTTGCTTCGAAGATACCGATCGAATCCGTTACATGTACTGGAACCAGATGAGATTGAGGTCCAGAAAGATCTAAGCTATGTGGAGGAACCAAAAGAGATCGTGGACCAAAAGGTGAAACAACTTAGGAATCGAAGTATTCCTATGGTGAAAGTAATTTGGAAAAGTCACACTGGAGAAGAAGCCACGTGGGAGACGGAAGAAAGCATGAGAGCACAATACCCCTACTTGTTTCAAGGTAAATTTCGGGACGAAATTTTATTTAGAGGGGAGGAAATGTAACATCCCAGCCCTCGTACTAGTATTACGTTATAATTACGTGGTTGTGATTGGGTTACAAAAATTAGTCTTTTGAACCAAAAAGAAAGTGAATAGTGGAAGTGCTAGACTTAATTGCAAGTGAAGGAAAGTTTAGGGCCAAATAGACAATTTGGAGGGATGGAGAATTCTAGATAAGGGAGATAAAAATCTGCCCATCCTCTTATCTCTCATTTCCTTCTCATCCCTTCCCCTCACTCTCTCCCACGTCCATCTCTTGCTCTCTTCCTTTCACCTGGTTCCACCACCTCAAAAACCACCACCCCCTTTCAGAAACAAAGAGTGAAAGCTAGAAAGAAAAGCATATCAAGGAGAGGAAGAGGAAGAAGAAGAAGGAGGCAAAGGGGGTGCTGCCAATTTCCGTCCAGCAGCGAGACAGCCTGTGAGAAGGACGATTCCGGACAATCAAACCGTTGGATCGTCCTGATATTTGTAGGTTGGGTTTCATACGTCTTTGGCTACGATTTGACCGTTGGGATCATCGATATGATCTCTGGTTCATCGAGGAAAGTCGCTGGACAGAAGGGGTGCGATACTGTTTTTCTGTAGCAGGACAGCAGATTAGAGGTAAGATCCTGTGCGAATCCGTCGTTGGATCGTTCTAGAAATTTGGTATGAGGTTAAGTATAGGTGGTTCTTAGAATTGACCGTTCAGAATATAGTTTTGATGTCGGAGTGGTCAGGAACAATTGTTAGAAGAAGGAGAGTTGGTTTTAAAGTGAAAGAAAGTTGTTGACAGTTTTGAAATGTCAAGTTAAAATGATTGCTGGGATCAAAAGGCTGATCCAAATGGTCTGAAATTTGGATATGTTGTAGCCCTATGAATCTAGTTTCAGTAGCAACGAGAATCAACGGATTTGGTTAAGTATCAAGGGAGAAATTATCAAAATGAGGAAGCATGGAAAAGTGTACAATCGTATGACTTCCCTAGTGGTCTTATTGACATGCATGAATACAACCATGATTATGATGATTGTATACGTGTCTTGGTGCTTGCATAACCTGGAAATCTTGTACATAAAGGTAAGGATCAAGCCGGGGGCTCATCCAAAGGCAAGGGCATAGCCGAGTGAAGACAAAACGGTGAGTAGATTCTAATCTTAGATCTACTTCAACATAATCACAGTATTCGGGTCATGAAGCGGCCCGAATACATATCGGGGTCATGAAGAGGCTCCGGTATAATATGGGAATTTATGGGAAATGATCTGGCTATGTGATATGGCTTATTTGTGTTTATTCATTATCTGCGTTTGGTATGAAGTTGGAAATGCATGAATTGTGAATGGGATATGGAAAGACATTTTGTTGATTTATTGTGTGGATTCTGAGTAAGTATTCGAACTTGCGAACCCGTGTTGTCTGTTTAGATTTGGAGTAAGCCATTAGGCTTACTAAGCCTGTTTTGCTTGAATAACTCGGAATCAGCTCCTCAACTGACATTCCGTTCTTTGGTGACTGAGGGTGCAAAAGCACTATGAATGCTTTTGAGCCTATAGTGTCTAGTGAACTATTAATGAAAAGAGGTGAATACATAAGAATAAGTAAAAAGGCTTTATGATACCTCGGTACAGTAGTGTGTCCTGTTTGTATCGATGTGGGGTAAACCCCACGATACTCCTGTTTGAGCGCTCGTGCTCCGCACCGTGCCGAGTGGGTGACGACCCACGGTACTCCTGTTCTGTTCAGTTAGCCGGGCTGGGGTAATCCCGTGGCGACTCCTGTTTTTGTATCGGTCCGGGTTGTGTCCCGCGATATTCCTGTTGGTGCGAGCACTCCTGTTTTGTGCCTTGAGCACTCCTGTTTCGTGCCTTGTGCACTCCTATTCGTACCGGATGGGGTTTTGTCCCGCGGTACTCCAGTTAACTGATGGCTGTACATGGTTATCCTGCAGCCTTCCACTACTGTACAACCCGAGGAGTATATCATTTAGCAAATTTGAAAGTGAAATTGTATATGCAAAATGCCTCTATCTATCACACGTTGTATGTGTTTGACTGTGATGAGTTGTGAATATGGGAACTTGATTGATTCAGTAAAATGAAAAGTGTGATAAAACAATTTAAGTCCTGTTATGTGCTAGGGTGTTTCTGCCCAATACTGTTTTTGTATTGATGTCGACCCGAGCTTAGAATTTATTCACTGAGCGACGACTCATCCTTCGTCACCATTTTTCCTCAGATCAAGATCAGAAGTAAGGTTTGTACTGTAGATATCGGGACTCAAGCGTGAAGGGAAGCCATGAGGTGGGCGGAGGACTCCGAACTCCTTAAATGTTTTATGTTGTGTGGATTTTGTAATAAAGCGGACTTCCCCGGTTTCTGTTTTGACTCTGAAGGAAATGTATATTATGGTTTGAAGTTAAAAAAAAAAATTATATGTAAAGCTCGGGCCCGAGAATGTTTAAACTCGATGTATTTTACTGTTTCATTTTGTAATATAAAGTAAGGGTTTCACACATAGTTTGCTCCATCGAAAGGTTCAGCAACAAGAGATTGAGACATGTTCTCATTTGGGTTAAGGTAGTAGGGATTACCAAAAACAATGGTTTCAGGTTGCAGCTGGGTCTGGTTGAAGGTACCAAATTGGAAACCTCCTGCTCCTGATGTCGTCGTCGATCCACTTCCACCAATGCCGGTGGGTGGCGTGTTAGGTGGAGTCTGTCCTCCGGACATCCCGTCGTAGGCGGCGGAAAACCCTAGAGCTCGTGTAGCTCTGATGCCATAACGCGAAAGATGGATTTTGTGGAAGAGGAAGCTCAACTAATGTTTGAGTCCTCTGTTCCTTTTTATAGATAGGAAAGTAATTAAACAAAACTACGACAGATGTCCTTACACGATAGGCTAGATATTTAAATAAACAGTAAAGTTTAACGGCTAACAACGACTAACAACTACTAAGCGATCCGGTGCGTTTTGCCTCTTCTTTCTCCACGACTTAGCAAGACGACGCCGTTCCTCTCTTCTCCTCTGATCCACTTCGAATCCTTCTGCAATAAGGATTGCAGACTTCTCTTGTTCTTCATCAAACCAACAGCACTTCATTTCAACTCTGTCACCCTCATTCGATTAACTACTAGAACACCAACGAAAAACATCGGAGATTCTTCATATGAAGTCCAAATCCAGCTCAAGCGACGTCCACTAAATCAATACCCCAGATCTGCAAGGACACCTTGATTAACAGTGAAATCAAAACACTAATGATAGAGAAACCCTTTGTTTACTTCTCTAGCACACTCATAGCCTCTGTTTCCTGCAACCAGTGAAGCCGATTTCTGCGAGTGACTGGCTCAACGTTGATTGCTACCGCCAAGTCTAAAGAGATTTGCAACCTCGATCCAGGAAAGTGAAGAGGAGTAGAAACGTCGACGAGTTCGATGCGAGGAAACTCAGCAGGGGGATAGCTAAATCTGTGGAGGAGGAGGAAACGTCACCGATTTGCGCTCAGATCTGGAGGGGATGGCTAACAAAAAAGATGAACATGCATGTCTCAGAAGACCTACCCGATTCGCGATTCTCTCATTTTTGTCCCCGATAACGAGAGGAGAAGAAGCAGATTCGGAGCTTCCTTTCCTCATCTTCCTTCTCCTTAGATAGCTAGAGAACACTCTGTGTGATGACAGGTGCGAGCGCTCGGATGAGTCAAGAGATGACGACGACGAGCACGCTGTACCGTTTCCAGGCACCGTGAAGAGGGTCACCGGCGAATGGTATCGGAATTGAGCCGTCGACGAGCACAAGTTTATTCTTTGATAAAAAAAAAGAGCCATCATCGTCGAGCAAAGCCATGAATTGAAATTGGAACTGTGAAGACGGAGGAGACTAGCAGGGATGCCGGATTCTCAGCTTAATTAATGAAGAGAGGGTGATTTTGGTTGAAAGTGGGCAAATCCACCATTGAAGAAAGCTTTGGAAGAGATGGTGGGAAAGGAATACGAAGAGTAAAGGAGAGTGAAACGGAAAAGAAAAGAAGGAAAGTAAAAAAAAAAAACTCTATTGGAATAAAAAGGAAGGTACCAAGGTTGTCAACCCGCGGGTTGACCCGGACCCGGTCGAGTTAGTGGGTCAAGGGTTAATGGGTCAACCGTTTTAGCCCGGTTTGGCCCGGAAATATGGAAAAAGTCATTATATTGTACTTATCCTCATAAATTATATCAAATCTTATCTAACATATGAGTTATAACATATAATATTACACCAAAATAACATATCGTACTTAGATCCAACATATAATGAAAATTCACACACACTTATATAACATAAATATTCAAATGTTCAACTTAGGATTCCAAAGATTGAGTTGGGCGAAAAGAACAATCGGAAAATAGGCGCATTTCGCAAATCAAAGGAAAAAATAACACAATTTGACCTCTAACCCGGTACCTTATAGCGGTCGGCCCGGCGGGTGCGTGCGGCCCGTTTTACTCATCGGGTCAGGGTCAAACTGGGTCGACCCGCGAGTCAACCCGCGGGTTGATGGTACACAGCTGTGAACAACTAGAGAAGAAAAATGCATAAGTGATGGTGATTTATATATATTTTTTTGGTCGCAGATGGGTGAGGAATTCGAAATTAAGAAATACCAAAATAGTATTTATTTTAAATTATATTTATAAAATAACAGATAATAATAAAATATTAATGCTCTGTTCACACTTACAACTTTGAATTTTTAAAATATTGACGTTTTTACGCTCTCGCTACAGGCTCTGGTTACCTAAGTCCGCCCCACTGCCGCTTCAGATTAGGGCCGCTGATGATGGGCCAGCAATTAAGTGATGACGGGCCGGTAATAATTAAGTGGAAGTAGACAATTATATGTCTGCCATGTAAAAAAAAAAAAATTATATCTGCTTGTTTATGAAGTGTTTGTTTAAAATTCCTAGATTAAAGCCCATGCATATGAGATAAATCAGATCATTCTTTTCCTTGAAATAAGGTTGGTAACATGTTGGAAATGTCAAGTAATCTTGAAATTGTGGCTTCTTGTTTTGAAGTGTTCTACACCTTCTACGAGAATTTTTAGAAATTGGTTTCAAATGTATCCATATCTTCTGTTCATTTTGGTTTCTATGAAAATGTCAAAGCAAATTAGTATTTTAGGATGATATGTATTTGTCTCTAAATAGTAAGTATATAATATGGGTATAAGTAATTTTTATCTTTGTCTCTAAAGACTATTAAAATTGTCTTTCAAATGACATAACTATAAGTGACATTTGTATTTATCTCTATAGATTATTAGATTTGTCTCCATATGACATAATTATAAGAGACATTTGTATTTGTCAATAAATACTATTAGATTTGCGTCTATATAATATATGTATAAGGAGCATTTATATTTGCATCTAAAGACTATTAAATTTGTCTCTATATGACATAAATATAAGCAACATTTGTATTTGTCTCTAAAGACTATTAGATTTGCCTCTAGAGACAAATAATATATTTGCCCCTAAAAATTAGCTATAGATACCAATATAACAATTGCCTCTAATTATTTGCCTCTGTAGACTGGTTTTCTTGTAGTGGTGATTCCCGTTCCGTCTGTTTGGGTAGCAACGGTTTGGTACTTGGGTTGGTTCCAATATTCATGTTCCATCGGGTTTAAAGTTAGGTTTAATAAGCTCGGTTGGTACCACATCACAACCATGTGGCCCAATAAAAACAATGTTACCGGTGCCGCACTTTTAATAGCGGCAATGTAGTATTGGCCTTTACCCACACCCCGTCGTGCGCCTCGAAGCTGATCCCCTGCGCAAATTACATCAGCAACACCTCCTTCATTCCACCGGCGAGCCGATCAAGGAAGCCGTGAGGACGGAGCTGCCTTGTCTCTGCAACCTCTACAACACTCCCGGACTCCTTGCTTCCTTAGGCATCAATGTCACCCAGGCCTTGGGTCTCACCACGCGCTGCGGCATCAGCGCCGATACCAGCTCTTGCAGCAAAGTGATGACCGGAGGAGCAGGTTCCCCTACGGCTAGCGTTGTTCCATCTCCACCAGCAGCGTTCCCGCCGCACCGCTTGCCGACCATCGCATACCATGCTCAATAACTTGCAACGGGTTGCACCAACCAATTATAGGATCACTAGTCCTGTCGAAAAAGAGACTTCGTCTTTCATTTTTTTTATCAATTCGTTAACTGATTATGTGTTTCGATAATCAGATTTCCGATTAATGCTAATGGCTGGAATAAATTCATTTTGCCGAGGCTTTTGAGTGTCGTACAGGGGCGCTCCTCTGTTTCTTTGTTTTTGTAGGAGGAGCTACCTAGTCCACGAGTGGAGATACGTTTCAACCCCGGTCAGAATCATCGCCGACCCCGATTCAGTCTCCCTCCCTTCGTCCGTTCGATCTTCTTCCACATCTCAACTATGAAAGACATAGAAAGCGGATTTGGATTAGGTTCCCGATTGCGGGATGGAGAACCTATTCTATTGGCAGGTGATGTAAAGCCGTTGATCCAGGGTGCAATTGCTGCCGGATTGTCCCCATATCAACCCCGCCGGCTAGGTGTGGGCATTCGGTCGGTTTGGTTTATACCGAACCGAAATTATGAATATCGGATTCCCGAATTCTCCCAAACCTCAAACCGAATTCGAACCGAATTATAATTCGGTTCGGTAGGTTTAAACCGAATTATAATTCAGTTCGGTTCGTTTTTCACACAAAACCGAATTTGTGAAGTTACTTGTATCTATTATTTTTTACCCTAATATAAACAATAAATATGAAATTATATGCATCATCAATGATAAAGTCAAACTTTTCAACACATAAATCATTAAATATTTCAAATATTTAAGTCTAAACACAACCACAAACATAAAAATCCACCATTTGGAGCTTGCAATTATAGTATTTCGGTTTTTCGGTCGGAATTTCGGTTCGGTTGAAAGAACCCTAATTTCCGAAATATCCGTATTTTCCTTCTGAATTCCGAACCGAATAGCATTATTTTAGTTTCGGTTCGGTTCGGTTTAATTCGGGTTCGGTTCGGATTTACCAAATCGGTTGCCCACCCCTACCGCCGGCCGACGTTGGTGTAGTTCCGTTGGTGAAACTTCCTTCTCCTCTATGTCTTCCACGCACCCGTTGTTTCACAGTCACTCTTTCATTGGAGGACACGCGCAGCGGAGAGGATAAGGGTGACCGCACCAAGCTGGGCAAGTTTTTTTGTCCCGATCCAAGGCAGTGCGGTGCTTGCTGGGCTAGCTTTCGTGTCTTTATGGTTTTTGTTTTGCAGGTCACGTAGTTGTTCCAGGAGTCGACTCACTTGGAGGGTGTTCATGAAGCAACACGTGTGAAGCTTACCCTTGACAGGGAGTTGGAGACTACAGTCTTTTGGAAAGTTGTCGTGATT